CGATAAGGTCTCCCCCTGAGCCTCTTCTTCTCCAAACTGAACAATCCCAGTTCTCTCAGCCACTCCTCATTAGACTTGCTCGCCAGACCCCTAACCAGTTTTGTTGCACTTCTCTGAATGCACACCATGGCCTTGGTGTCTTCCTTGCAGTGACAGGCCCCAAACTGAATGCAGTACTCAAGATGCAGCCTCATCAGAGCTGAGCACAGGGGAATGATCGCTTCCCTGCTCCCACTAGTAACACTATTTTTGATACCATCACCTCAGCCGAGCAATGCAGAGTGTCCAGATCCCTCTGGATGACCTTCCTAACCCCAGGCAGAGCAACACTTCCTCCCAGTTTACTGTCATCCGCAAAATTACTGAGGGTACAGGTCATCAATAAAAGTATGAAACAGGAAGGCCCAAATACTGACCCCTGGTGAACATCATTTGTGACTGGGTGCCAGCTGAATTTAACACATTCTCCACGCACTACTGTTCACAAGCTTTGGTCCTTCTAGATCTGAATTCCCCAAACCTGTGGATACCACTACGCTAGCAAACAAATATGAATTTTAAAATTACATATTTTAACAGGACTTAAGATGTGTGTCTGAAAAATGTCACACTAAATTTGATAAACTGCCTACTACTTATTTCAAATTAATACAGGAACTACTAAACTAGACTAGACTACAAGCAATCTAATTTAATAACCTAGTGTTTTCCTCGTAGCAGTAAACAGCAAGTGTTTCAAAGGAACACACCAAACAAAAACAAAATTAAATTGATACTATCAAATATCCTGCCCATAAGAGAATTTGTGTTTTAAAGCATGCTTTGAATGTTTAATTATATTCACCTAAATATGAGACACTGCCTAAAAGAAGAGACTCTTTCTCTGCTCTAAGCATTAGAGGTAGCAATTCTGTTACTACAAAAAGCAGAAAGCTATTCCAGCAGAAACCTGTTAATCAGTTGAGCAGAGTTGATAGTGTTTGCCTGCACTAGTCCATTCAACTTCGACAAATGCCAGATCCTAAAAAGGAGTAGAGTATAAGGTCAACTTTTTTTTGTGTCAGACCAGTTTATGTAAGGCATGAAAGGAAGCCCAAAGACAAGCAGCACCACCAAGGCTGAAAGAAACTGCTCCATTCAACATCAGAATTATCATTACACTAGCTTAGAATTTAGGAGACTTAAGCTATGTATCATATTCTGAGCAAGTCTATACCAAATCAGCTGCAATACCACCCTACTGTTCTGCCCATTCATCTACTTTTGCCCCCTTCCTGCACAACAGTGCTGTGTATTTGAGTCAATAACCATTTCAGCAGGTTCAGCCCACCAAATAAGAACATTCCATGTTTTATGCAGCTGGAATTTTCCGCTGAGTTCCTGCCTTAGAGATATGGAAAGGAAGTAAGACTGCACAACTTGAGTAAGCTGGCAAGAAGAAACACTTATTAAGATCACTTTTGAAAATGTCTATGGCTTTTGTTTTATTTAATTTAAGCTCATTTGCACTACCTTTTTGGTAACAGTTAACTGTTTTCTTCTGAACACAAAGGAGAAACTAATTCTACACTTCTTAACTTGCATTTACAATCGTCTCTCGATTTCTGCAGTACTGAAGGCGCCTAACACGCAGATCTGAAGCTGCATACAGATCTCCAGAAGACTCAGATGGACCCTGGTGTTAAAAGTGCATCATGTATCCAGTAGCAGTAGAACAGGGAGGTGCTAGAGATGCTGGGAAATCCCAGCTTTTATCTGGGGAAGGAACCAGCAGAGCATGCTAGACCTGCACTGCTGACCTGCCTGGGTATCCAGCCACACAACACAGCAGTGACCAAGTTGCTACTGCTGTGATTGCCTACTGGATTGGATACATGGTAAACCTTATCATTTTCTGACATACGCAGATTCTGGAAGAGTCAGAGAGTTGCTGAAGTTTTACAGACTTATGTCTCTGGGCTCCAGTGATATTTATATCAAACTCTACTGCCAAGGCATATGCTAATTAATACAAGTACCAGGATTCAGTCTCAGCATGTGTCCCACTGTTCTACTAACACTTCATAAGTTAAGAAGTGTATTTACCACAATCCCTCTATGAAGCAAATGATCTCAAGCTTATTAAAGCACTATGCTGAATTTTTGGCCTCTTTATCCATTATTCCAACAATCAGCAAGACTACACAAAAATATCACTGGTGATATTTCATACAAAAATACCACATGCTGAAGTTTTAAAAACTTTATTTTTCAAGTTGTCTTTGCAAAGTTAATGTTCTTTTAACAGTTAAGAAATTGTCTAGATTCTAAAGGTCCAAATCACAGATCCGAGTATGTAAAAATCTATTACTTCATAGAATCACAGAAACATAGAATGACTTGGGTTGGAAGGGACCCCAAGGATCATCAAGTTCCAACCCTTCTAACAAAGGCAGGACCACCAACCTGCAGATCTGGTACTAGAGCAGGTTGCCCAAGGCCCCATCCAACATGGTCTTGAGCACCTCCAGGAATAGAGCATCCAAAATTTCTCTGGGCAGCCTGTTCCAGCACCTTACCACTCTCTCAGTAAAGAACTTCCCCCTAACATCCTATCTAAACCTTCCCTCCTTGACCTTAAAACCATTCACTAAATGTTGATTCCTCGCCTGTTTATAATCCCCTTTTAAATACTGGAAAGGGCAATGAAGTCCCCTCACAGCCTTCTCTTCTCCTGGCTGAAAAAATCCAGTTCCCTCAGCCTGTCTTCATAGGGGAGATGCTCCAGCCCTCTGATCATCTTCACATCCCTCCTCTGGACCCTCTCCAACAGTTCCACATCTTTCCTACACTGGGGGCCTCAGACCTTGAGTTGGTACTCCAGATGGGGCCTCACAAGGGCAGAGTAGAGAAGACTTCTTCTGCATGTATTTATTACCCTCTAAGTTCAAGCCCTCTACTGCCAAACTTTTAACATAAATAACAAGAAAACTGGGAGCAAAAGCAGGTATTATCCACTGAAGATACAGGCTCCTTATGAGGTTGTTTGTGTTACATAAAATTTCACACAATTTGGATCCCTCATAACAAAAGGTAACAAAAAGGGTACAGAATGCATTACCTCCTCAACTTTGTTATAAGACACCTTTTATTCTAGGCCAACAGACCAGTTTATTAATGAAGAAAATGAAACAAAACATCTGCATGTGCCCATGTGTCCTCAAGCAGAAATCTGTATCTATAATTGTGGACAAACACCGGGAAAAAGAAAACTGGAAAATTAAGAGGCACAATTTTTCATCTCTCTCAAGCTGGAAGAAGAAAAAACAACACAACTCCACAATAAGCCAGTCTAGATCAAACATAAGGAAATTTCTATCCACAGTTTTTCTGCATTTTTATCTCACTCCTTTTGAAAAAAGTTAGTTACTTACACAGTTTTGAATGAACACTTTGAATGAAAATAATTTCCTCTTTCTGCATTCTCTTTCAAGTCATTTCTTTAATTTTTCCCATTCTTGTACTATATGTTTCTCAGCAACTCCAGCTTGCATACTTTATCTTTTCTTCTTGCAATATTACATGGAAGAGAGCAGAAAGGCCCACAGTTCACGCTTGACATATTTAATTCTCCCAATACAGGCAGAGGACAGGAAATAAAAAACAATACTGAAAAGCTGAAGGATCTATCATGAGCTTTAAAAGACTGCAGCCACATTTCTGGATGACTGCCTTGACAGAACATACTGTCCAATCAACAGAATACTCTAGGCAAAAATATGTTCAGACTTTCTGACAAGAAGTTTCTCTGATCAGAAGGCATCCTGCAGTATTTCAAATCTCCGATAAAAATCACAGACATTTCAGAATAATAGATAAATTAACAAAAATAACAATACTCAAAGTAACAAAATAAATGTTTAGTAATGGAAGAATTAAAAATCCCATTTCCTCAAGCATTTCCGTTTTATGCTTGACTGATTCATGTTACAGTACAAATGCTGACCAAAGTTCTTCCCCAAATCCAATTTAAGATTTCTCTCCTATAAAAATTCCTCAACAAGGAACAAGGCATACAGTAATGTGGCAACCTCTTCTTCACAGTTGAGTATCTGCATATTTTCTTCCTACACAGAATAATCCTAACACAACCTGCAGGACCGTAACTCTTTCCTCTCCCCCTTGAGTGATATACAGTGAAGAGGAATAGAAGAGGTAATGGATGCAAGAACATTGCATTCCCCTTCCTATTGGAAAGCCAAACTAAAAAGCTGTAAAAATACAGCATTACACAGTTTGACAATGGCATTAATTTTCTATCTAAAACATAAACTAAAAAAAATCAGATTACTTAACACTTTTAACACACCTTTATGTTTTGCTTTTTATTTTTAATTAACTCAGAAGAAACAAGCTAGTAGTAAAATAGAAGTGTCATAATTTAACTTAAAACTGTAAGTTGAAATAATGGTTCAAATTATTCTGAGGTGCACACTGTATATTTTAGTGTTCTTTTCTAAATACACACCCACAAAGTAGCATTCTTGGTTATGTCACATTACTACTTCTAGTTCGCTAACAATTTGTACTGTCCACTGAAAATCCCTTTTATTTCAAATGTGATTGGTAACTTGGAGCCAGAACATAAACCAAAGAAAAGAGTTACCTAAAACTCTTAAAATATGATCCACAAAATTAAAAGTATCCACACAAAAACAAAACTCGGTAATTTTGTCTTAATTTGAAAATTTTATAGTCCTTATCCAGGAATTAATAAGCTAAAGCAAACCTTTTCTCTGTTCTACAAAGGGAAGGCATTTCTAAAGCAAATAGGCAAAGTTAATATATTTGACTACCACAATTAATGCTGAAGAATATGGTATCTTGTGCATCTGCATTATTTAGATGACATATAGGTAGTCTGCCACACACAGAATTCATAATCAAAAAGTACATGTTCCACTTTACAATCTTTTTGTAAGCATCCTTTCAGCACATTCCCAGCCTTAGCTTATCCTCACCAAGATTTCCATCCTCGACTGTAAGCACCACTTCATCCATCAGCAAGGCCCGGAAATCCAGCTCTTCTTCACAGCACTTGGCCTTCAATGCTCTCAGGATCTCCTGCTGAGGGTAATCTTCTCTGATGCGACGGTCTGTTAAGAACCACAATCTGGGAGCAACTGAACTGCACATCTTGGACTTTTCTTGCAACCTTCAACGTTTCTTTTCAATGGAACTTCTAGATGGTGGAGAAGATGAGACTCTGTTAGAGTACACAGGCTCCTATTCATGTTCCCCACTGTCCTGAGTTCTACCGCTTTTGTACAAGTCAATCTTTTTCAAAAGATTTGCAACCTCCAAGTGGGAAAGTAATGTCTATGCCTAATCTGTAATTGAAGTAACAATAGAAATAAATCCATTTACACTCAGTGTTACTTACTAAATGCTAGTCTCAGCTCCTACCCTAGTTTCATCCACAGTAAATACACATTTTGACAATTACTGGTAGCAGCAGTACCATTCTTCTTTCCTGACAGTACTAAGAGGCATGAAAACATTTTGAATGGCCATCTTTGAAGACAAGAATTCCATCTTTTAGGGTAATTCCTTACAACTGTAAATAGCTCAGCTGCTTCCCTAAGTACCATTAAAACACTTGTGACAGAATTGATATATCCTTTACAGTATACAGAAGACAGATTACACCAAATCTTTATAATAGAAAAATATCTCAGACAAAAATGCATTAAAACCGAAACTTCCACAGTATTATTTCAAGACTGATTCACTCTTACAAAAATTTCACATCTACAGAGAAATACATTTGATATTAGCCAGAACGTTAGTGGAGAGCCAATGGAACAAGGAACACCAATATAATTATAAAAATATTAAACACTAAATATACGTACCCAAAAGCAAAATTAAAGATCGTATCTGCAAAAGGAAAAACAACCTTTACAAATAAACAGCACTTACAAATATACAAAGCATGCTTCAAATTAGAGAACTTCAATGATATCAGAAGTGATAAAAAGCAAGGTGGTGTTTCCCTTGATTTGAATAGAGGACTTGGGTTGCTTTTTTACTATATTTGAAAATATTTTAAGAGCTGTAAAACAACTAAAGGTATATGGATGGACCAAAAAAAAGCAATTGTTTGCATTAAGCAAGGAAACAAACAAACAACAAAACAATAACCAGGAAAGCAGCATGGCATAGAGAAAAAGAATTCTGGAGAAAACCAGAGCTGTTTTCTGCCACACATTTTAAATCTTCCTGTTAAATGAAGAGAGAAAAAACACTTTTTTCACCAGTACAATTTACCTGATTTTTAAACAGAACTGAACTGTGGAACCAAAACAGGCAGTTTTCTGGTAGTCCTAATGACAAGACATGGTATCAGAAGATACAAGCGCAGACGACCTCAGGTATACAACTACCTTCACTTAATATTTCAAAGAATTTCCACTAGGTATTTTTTCTGTTGTTCACGCATGAAGCTTCTGCAGCAGGTATTGAGGCAAAAGAGTCATTTTATAATCACAAGAACAAACTCATTTGTTTTTAAATTCAAAAACACATTCTCTTTCTCTACTAGCAAACCTATTTCTTAAACAACAACGAAGAAATAAAGTTTTAAGTGGTCACTTTTATTCCTAGTACCAAGAATCACAATGGCAAAAAGCCATCTCTGAATACTCCACAACTAGTTTTCCACAGCTTTGCTGAATCAGAAACAAAAATAAAGCCAAGGGAAAAAAAGTTCTTCCTACTAATAGACTGAAAGAAAGCAGAAGCTAGACAAAGCAATCACAGATGCAGACCAGTCCTTGAGAGCAAGCAAGATGCTCAAATGACAGCAGGATAAGGAATATTTGGTCCTCCCAAGGAAAAGAACACAAGGGGGAGTAGACTGTAAAGCATATCTTTTGTACCACAGTTGTTTGGTTTTTTTTCTTTCAAAGCAGCTGAAAGTGAAAAAGACAAGATGAGGCTTGGGCTAGCAGCAGCAGACAACTGACAGATCCTGCCTCACTTTTGGCTTTCTCAGTATGGTAGTTCACAGAAAACTTTCTGGCTCTACTACATCCCTAGGTAAGAATTCGAACAAGATATACTTTTCAAAACCTGCACCATTACTACACAGTTCAGAAGGTTTCTACCCTTATTTCATTTTTGCATCAACAACTGGCAAGAAAAACAGCACAACCTACCATCTCTCCTTTGAAAAGCAACAGTAGCTAGCAGGATAGCATAACTCATCATGAAAAATAATCTCTACAGAACACAGAGAACATAAAAAACACACTAGATAGAATTTCTGATTATAAAAAGAAAAAAAACAGAAGCCATAACAGATCATCAAGTCTATTGGTTGGTATGTTTTTTCCCCTTTCTCTTTCTCCTCTTGGTACTAATACTAAAATTGCTAAGTATTTTCTCACCCACAATGTTCTCCCCATTTTCACTTGCTATTAAGCCTTGATTTCTTTGCCTCCTCTCAACACAGACCTCCTCTCATTTTTCTTAAGTCTCTCTTCTACGTGGCCACATCTCTACATCCTTAAATCTACACAGACAGCACCATCACCTCTCTGACTACCATTTCAATGCATTCTTTAAAAAAAAAAAAAAAAACGCAGAAGGGTTAAAAAAAAAAAAAGAGTGAGAGAGGGTCAAAAGCACGGAGGTGGGTGGGGGAAATGGAGAGCAGGAGAGAGAGGGAAAATGGAAGGGGGGAGGGTGATAGAAGGACAGGGAAAACGGGGGGAGAGAGGGTGTGGAGGAAAGAGCAGAAAGTGTAAAGGAAGGGCATGGGGGAAAAAGAAAGAGGGACGGGAGGGCAGAAAAGGGGAGGATGGATGAAACTGCAGGAGAAAAAGAAAAATGGGAGGGGAAGGAAAGGATGGAGAAAGGGAGGGGGGGACAGAGGAAAACAAAGGGGGGTGAGGGAAAAGGGAGAGGGAAGGGGGAGGGGAAAAGGGAGAGGACAGAGAGGGAATGAAGGGAGAGAGGGGAAATCAGGGAGGGGAAAACAAAGGAAGAGGAAAACTGAGAGGGATGGAAGGAGAGGGAGGGAGAGAGGAAAATGGAGGGAAGGAGGGAGGGAAATAAATAAGGGAAGGAAGGCTGGGGAAGAGGAAGGGGAGGGAGGGCAGGCGAGAGTAGAAATCAAGGAATGTGTATGGTGACGGCAGGCAAGAGTGAAAAACAGGGAGGCAGACAGGAGGGAGAGAGAAAAAAGAGGAGATAGGGGGAGAGAGAGAAAGGAAAAATGAGAGTGGGAAGGAGAGAAAAAAGAGAGGGAGGTAGAGAGAAAGGAAACTGGGAGTGAGGGAGGGAGACTGGGGAGGAAAAAGGGGAGGAAGGCTGGACAAGGTAAACAGGGAGGAAGGCTGGACGAGCAAAAAACAAGGAAGGTGGGAGAGGGTGGATGAGAGTGGAAAATGGGGAGGGCAGGAGGAAGAGAAGTAAAAAGGAGAAGGCGGACATGAGGGAGAGAGGAAAAAAGGAGAAGGCAGGTGGGCGAGCAAAATGGGGTGGGCAGGTGAAAGCAAGAGAGAAAAAAAGAAGAGCTGGAGGGAGGAAGGAGAACATGGAGAGAGGGATGGAGAAAAAAGGGGAGTGCAAGGCATAAAAAATATGAGGGCAGGAGGAAGAAAAAAAAACATGAGGGAGTGAAGGAAAGGAACAGCAGGAGCAAGGGAGAAGGAGGGAGAGGAACGGTGGGAGCAAGGGAGAAGGAGGGAGTGAGGGAGAGCGAGACAAGAAACATGAGGGAGCAAGGGAGAGAGACAAAACATAAGGGAGGGAGGGAGGGAGAGAGAGATGGCAAGGGAAAGAGGGGGTGAGGAAAGGAGGGGGCAAGGGAGGGAGAGAGAAAGACAAACTATGAGAGAGTGCGGTAACAACACAGAGGAGGCAAGGGAGAGAGGGAGCTCGAGGAAAGGCAGGAGCAAGGGCGGGAGGGTAAGGAAAGGTGGGAATGAAACGAAAAGCAGCATATGCCTGTCTTTCCTATGAGTTTTTTTTTTTGAGGAGCTACAGCATCATGAAGAATTATCCAGGTATCTTAACTATCCTGTTAAAACAAGCAAGCCAATCCAAAATGCCTTGATCTGTATTTATCACTTTCCTAACACTTTGTCTCACTTCTTCTGAATCTTATGAAATTTAATAAATGTACGTATCAAGTATCCTATTTCATCATAAGGCAGGTAGGAAGCAACCTTAAGCCTGCAGATAAAGATTAACAAATTCACTTGAAAGCAAGCTATAAGACTAGTCAAAGCAGAAACAAGTAATCCTAACTTTAGAATCCTCTTAACCAACACCAATTTTTTTCCACTAGGATAAATATCCTCATCACTCTTACACTGTGTTCCCATGAATGGTCTCTATCTACCAATTTCAGCCTGTCCTTATAATCTCTACTTTGATTTCGTAGAAGTCTCGTGGAACACAAGATCTTCAATTTACACTACTGGGTTAAACCTCCTAAAAATCCCTCCCACATTTTTAACAAAATGGTCTGTAAGAAGAAAGCTTGCCTTATAGTCAGATGCACAAGAGCATTATGCTCTTGATCTGGATCTGGTTTCCAGTATTTTTTCCATGAAAACCAACTCCACCGACTTCAATCTAAAAGCCACAGCCTGATACAATGCTGGGTGTGCATGAAATATTTTCTGATCCATGTGAATATCAATTGCAAAGTAAGCACAGTACATATAAAGGGAAGAGCAGATGTTTGAATGTCTTCTACAAGATGAACAGTTCAAATGCTTTTAACTTTCAGTAACTACCAAATTTAGAAAATGTAAAACGAGAAAAAATAGACTTAACTGCATAAAACAGATTACAAGTAGAACAGTGGCATCTAAGCTCTACAATAGGAAGCAAACTCTCAGACTAGCCACGCAGTCACTGCTGCATCTGCTTCAGAGAGATGCTGAGTGGAACAGATTCTTAGCAATTTATGAAGAGAATTGATGGAACTCCACTTCGAGCTGCAGCATTGCTGCATTGCTTAAGCTCATTTTGGCATTCACACAGCAGTTTCTTCTTTTGCCCATCATATGCGTATTTCCTCCTGCATTCCTCGAATCTGTAATATACCTTTTGCAGCTGTTGTAACAAAAGTAGTCACCGTGCTTCTTTTCTACTTTACATCATAGCAGAATATATCATACTGGCATAGCAAGGAATTCATCAATCATATCAGCAGTCCAGACAGACTTGGAAACCTGAAAACCTCTCTTTTTCCCTTGAAGGAGTCTCTTCTTCACACAAACATACTTAAGACCTGTCTCCACGAATTAGAGATTTGGTCTCCCTTGCCCATTTAGTCCTTGCCCTACCTTCAACACCAAAAAGCTAAAGGGGAAAAAAAAAAAAATGTACTAGTTTCTTTTTGATCGTGACATTTTTTTTCCCCAAAGGCGAAACAAGGAATCAATTGTTAGGATATACTAATTCATTTATGCATTATTGGTAAATGCGTGATGTTCAAGGTATCTAGTTAAACAAAAAGATTGTTCTATGTCCTTTCTATTCAAAACACAAATACTCAATACATTTCTATATTAATAAGCTTTGGTTGTTTCTTCCCTATGGGAATTACAAATGTTTTGCAGCATTAGAAATCAATGCTATTTAGTATTATTTATCTCAACTACTTAACTTGTAATCTGATGTAGCCCCCTTCCACTGCCCACAGTGATCTGAGAAACAAGTTATTGGAACAATTATTATCATCAACCCCTCCCAGAATCACCTCTTTTTTAGACCTTGTCCAAGACACTAGGCTTCAGTTACAGCACAGCACTGTTCAGCTAACAGATTATGGGTTTCAGCAGTTAGAAAGGTAAAACTTAATCTTAGTTTTAGCATACCATTAGGCAGACCTAATCCCTACATTTTAGATAATAATAAAACTCTCAAGGAAGTTGAGAAGGTAAGAGCAAAAAAGTGACAGTCATGACTGCCATGGGAAATAGAGAAAAAGGAAAAAAATAACTCCAAGCACTCATCTCACCATGAACAACAGTGCAGTCTCACATTTATCGTTAATACACACACCTCACTCGTTTTTTTTCCACAGAACAGTATTATTTGAGTTGGAAAAGGGAATTTTGCTTTACTTTTTATCATGAATAAGCTAAGAATTGAAATTGTGCACATACTTCCAATAAACTAATTTTCTCTACCATGACAGCAGTTTCTAGAATGCTGTTTAGGAGGCTACACCTTAAGATGATGAAGGCATAAGAACACTCAATTGATACTCCTAAGTTAGATTAATGGTGGTACCACAAGGTACAATTACAACGAAGAAGTTAGATACAACTATGGCTATTCTGAAAGTAATGCCTCTTATTTTATTACGTTGGCCATCAATGTCAGAAGCAGATGGTGGCGGTATGGCAGTAGAGGTTGAATTTTCCCACAAATATTCCATTATATTTTGTTGCTGTGCAACAGGTGGCAACTAAGGGACAGTCTATCAAAATGATATCTGACATGGAAACATGAGTGAAGCAAAGGTGCATCACTAAATTCTTCCTTACGGAAAAAATTACACACACACACACGTTGCTTGCTGAATGTTTCTGGAGACCAAAGAGTGGATGCTAGCACAGTGAGGCACTGGGCAATGTGCTTCAGCACTCGTGACAGTGGGTAACCTCCACTGGTGCAGATTTTTTACAAGTGCTACATTCAGGCTCCTGTTCATTGCTGTTGAAAATGCAGCTAGTTGTGGTGTAGAAAAAGTGTTTTGTAGTTAAGAATTTTCACTATCAAATAATGTTATTGTGCTCTTTGTATCTGTAGGGGTTTCCGTGGAAATAAATAAAGAGGCATTACTTTCGGAGTGAGCTTTATAGATCAGTTAATTAGTTAACTAAGGACTGTATGATGGGTCGTATGCTGCACATGTGTCATATATGTCTATCTCACTCTAGTGAGGAACATAGAGCATTATTCCCCTCACTCTAGTGAAGAGAACAGAGCATACAGGGATAGCAGGTCTAAAAATGGTTCACATTTCTTTCAAGCATAAGAACAATTAATTCTGTTCCCCACAGAGACACCAGAATAACAGTTATCTAAAGAAACACTTAAGGAAATATTTATGATTGAATATAGAGAGAAAACTAACATCTTAAACCACTTCTAAAATTGCTTTGTAAAAATAAACCCAACATAAATCAATTCATTCCTGACACTGCTCCTCCATGGGGATGCTTAAAGACAACCTCAAGAAAAATTTCTATTTTGCCTACCAGAGACTAGTTTTCATAAAAATGCCACATAATTGTTTGAGCATCTTTGGAGAGAACTGATTTTTAGAAGTGAAAAATCTGAAAAGCTAGCATATTTATTTAAATACATTTTATATAATATATTGAGCAGCTGCAGTACAACTCATCAAGCCCTGATGCATTATCATCCACCCCTGAATATACACACTAGAATTTAAAGTCACTGCAAGCAGGTAAATCCCAAACACACCTCCCTGAAATCACAGCCCAGTATTCACCTCCCTTCCAATGCCAGATTTGTAGACTGCAAGAGTCATGGGATATGGAAATGTATTAATCACTCTCACTCTTTTCCAGTACAATCCCCCCACTCCCTGTGACTGGCAAATGCATTCCTTATGGT